AATTCCACTCAGCAAGGCCCCCTGACTCTCAAAGTAGTATTTTCAGGAGAGTAATGAACCAATCTGCAAATACTTATGAACAAAATGAAAGTCAGTAGTTGCGCAACCAATTATATAATAGCAGAGGACATGGTTGACAGATGAAGTACTGCAAAAGTTTGAATAGTAAAAGAATTGGAAATAATAGTTGCCCCCAAAAGGATTTCGATTGTCATTCCTTCTGTATTATCATAAAAATCCTATTTGTCTGATCATAACATATTCAGATTTGTGGAAAAGAAATGCTAATTTATAAGAATTTAACTGTATCCTAAATTATCCTAATCTGATGGTAAGACCACATGGTTATGATCAGAATTTTTTTCCTCTCCTTTAAATACCTAGATTTTTTGTTTTTTTTTTAAAGAAAATTTCAAAAATCATCTCTGCTTGTAAAACTGATAATCTTTCTGAAGAGCTTCTCAGTTTCTTTTCCATTTACCTCAAATTCTGAGATTATATAACTAAAATTATGGTGTTCAGGCTGTAAATTCATAATTCAAAACAAAACATAAAATTTTACAACTTAAATCTTAAATAAGCACAGGGCAGGGCGGGGCAATCTAGAAAATGGCAGGCTCGCCCCATTCTTGTGCTGCCTTGGAAGCCGTTAGAATTTTTCTAAAGGATTTTCAAAGCAGGGCGGGTACGGCACACGCAATTTGGAGAACATCGTGAGCGGCCTCAGGAAGACAAAATGGCATGGCCAGCAGCTGCCTTGCATAAGGCAGGCCAGGCGTGCCTTGTCAGCAGTGGGAGGAAAACAGTGAAGGTCGGCTGGACACGGCAGGGCCTGTAGAGTGTGGGGCAGTGAGGTATCTGGGGCTTTGCACTGTGGTGCTGGGGAGCTGGCCGCGGTGCAGGGCTTGAGGTGGCACTCCTCAACAGCAGTGCTGGCTGCTCTGGGACTGAAGTAGAGGCCTGGGGGCGGTGGCGGCCAACTAAGACTGCTGAAGGCCCCAGGCCTCTAATTCAGCCCCAACACTGCTGCTACTGCCACTATGCTGGGCACCCAAAAGGGCAGAGATGGGGGGAAGACAGCTGGGAGGGGAGTTGAAGTGCCCCTGAAGTGTGGGCAGGCTGCCAAGCACCCGAATTTTGATCTTGTGACTGTGGGGGCATTGCAACAGCCATAACTTTGGATGTGTAAGTCCCTTTGTTCAGCGCCATTGTAACTGAACAGTCGCTGAATGAATGGTCATAAGTTGAGGGCTACCTGTATGTAATCTGAGGATCACATCATAAAATTGTTGTTGCATGACTGCTTTTATAGGTGTGTGTATTAAAATGTAATATTTGACATCTGAGAAGATCACCCAAAATTTTGTATGCTTTCAGGCAGGAACACCCAAACTTTATGAGACTAGTTGATCCTCTTTAATCCATTCGTTTTTAGTTACTGTAGAATAAGAGGAAGTGCTATCTACTTCCTTTTTTGTTAACAGTCATGAATTATTCAGGCAAGTGGAATCATGTAAGAATGCAGAATCTTATTAGCAAGGTCAAGATCAACTTCCTTTCCTTTCAGTATTACTTTGCCTGGATACATGCATATCCTTAGGGTTTCTCCATAACATAGAATAATTAATAAAATGTGCATTTTTCTTTTACAGAATGCAATTCCTATAGTTTGCTGCAATTTCTGATTCACCCTGCTTGCTCTTTAACAATTAGAAGACCTGAGTTGTTGTTACTCACAACTCTTGATTGCGTCCTCCAGCAGTGAATGGAGCAGAGGATTTCATTTGAAATAAAAACAAAACTATGTGCTTTATAAGAAAATAAAGTTTTACATGATAGAAGGGGAAGATATTCATGACTAGATACTTATTTATTCATATTACAATTTTTAAACCACCCAATAGCCGAAGCTAATTTCCCTCTTTTAACAGCAGTCCTTGGCTATTCAGAGGACCTCTGTGTTAATTTCCTTCTCACAGACAAGATATTTTATGTAACATAGAACATTGCAAAGTTTTATTATCTAGCTTTAACACTAAGACAGGGGTCCACAGTGAAAAATAAGCCTGAATATTGAATATACTTCTATATTCTGCTTGTTGTTGTTGTTGTTGTTTGTATCTGTTTGCGGCCAAAGGAAACACGGAATTGGAATTGGAATTGGAATGATGGCCAGTGGAAGTAGAAGGTTAGTTCAGACAAGGAGTGGAATGAAGGAGGTGAGACTGGAATGAGTTTCCTACAAGTAGAAGAACAGATCAGGCACTGAAATGCTGTCTTTGGCTACAGTGAGTGCCTCAGACTCTTTTTCCAGTATCTTGTGGCAGTTTCTGTTTTAAAATAAGCAGTTAGTTCAGCTTATTTTAAAACAGAAAGAGAGGCATTGTTTTTCTTTTCCTTCTGTTAAGGTCCTGGCTAATTTGATCTCTTCCAAACTGAGACTGGGATAGTGGTCATTTTGGCATGTTTCCTGGACTGTGTTTCATCCAAGTTGCTTGGGGTAGGACCTTTAATAGTGAGTGAGCTTACTTGTTCCCCGCTCCTCTGCTGGTGGAAGTGGGTGGAAGAAGATGAAAGCTGCAACTATAATGCAAATAACTAGAAGTATCTTCTGACAATGTTGCAGTTCCCTAAAAATAGAATCCAGTGAATCCTTGCACTGAAAAAGAGAGGCACGCAACCTTATTAACTACACTGGTAAGAACATTGTTATGTCTAGTTGCACTTCCGGGTCCTTCCAAGACAGCCAGGATGACCCTCTGCAGACTTAGAGAACATTTTCCTTGCTCTATAGCCCAGACCAATATATATTGATTGCTCCTGTATTTTGTTGGTAAACTTGGGAATCTATTCTGTGAAAACTATAGATGTGTCTATTTAGTCAGCAAAAATTGAGCTCAGTCTGAAAACATATTTACCTTTTATTTGGGCTGCATCATTATAAGATATAGCTGTGTGTGTGTGCGTATGTCACATATACCAATTTTGTTGTATGCCACCCAGAGTTGCCTGTGGTGAGATGGGCGGCTATATAAATTGATTTAATAAATAAATAAATAAACTATAGTAGATGGAACTTTGGAGAAGCTGTACATGTTGTAGTGGTACCTCAGGCATGACTCATTTGTAGCATCTCAGAGCATTGGGTAAGCTGCATCCATTGAATATTTAGTTGGATGCCTCGTTCACCGGACCATTATTCAGCTGAAATAACAAGGCAGATTGTGAATGCATGGAACTAACTTCTAAAGCAATACAAAAGTGAATTAAATCCATCATAAAATGGAATCTAAGATGCCTTATTTTTAACTGTAATTCCAATTTTTGTAGCATGAACAGAAATTGCAAGTATCTTAAATTCTTATCTTAAAACTGAACTGTAAAAAAATGGAAAACTATAAATATTTTATGTGACTTTAGCAGTGTAATATCAGAATCTGGAATATCTTAGATCTGAAAACCTCCCTCCTTCCATTGAGCTTTTGGTTCCAGTTAATTAACATACAGTTGCTGCTCTATACATTTATATGTTGTATTTTTAATTATTTTATTAATTGAACTATTTTTGGTTTGTTTTTACTTTATTGTACACCACCCAGAATTGTAAGAATTGAGTGGGTAACAAATACAGTACTGTAGATTATTAATTATATAAGTAACATAGGCAATTCCAAAATTCCAGGTAATCTGAATATTGTCATCTACTGCTAGGGTTTGTGTCATATAGTTGTGTTTCTAGTATTTTCTTCCTGTTAAATTATTTTATTTATAGCATTTTAATAATATTTTATATAATCTTACATTTTTTCACATAACTTTTTGTTTTAATCTTTCTTGTATAGATGCTGTGGATGGAAGTGAACTCAAACAGTTCTTTGAGATCAACTATTCTCAAATTTATTTTATCTTCTATGAAAATTTTGTAACAGTGGAAACCAGCTTGAAACAAAAAGGTAAGAATATTATCTTTTAAGATGCTTAATACTGTCCTATTTTCTGTATCATATAAATCTTTGTATATCTCAAATAAGTTCAGTAATTGATAAGCAGAGTTTTAGAAATTGGGAAAGTCTAACCTAAATGATTGCAGTTTAGTTTAGTTTATTATTATTGATTAGCCATTAGGCCATATTAGGACTAATGTACTAATACTAATCTAAAACTGCTAAGATTCTCTTACAGACACTGGTTAGCCCTTGCTCAATATTGCATTGGTATTGATTTTCTAATCAGTTATGGAAGAAGATTATGGTCTTTCCCCCAAACCCCAAGATGAACAATTAGAACATTCAGGATATCTTCACTGAACAGCTTAAATGCTTTAAATATCTGGGGCTAGTATTCCATACTTCAGCCAATAAGAGGGCCAAGGTTAAAAATATAGTGTAGATAGCACACAGGATTGCTGCAGATATCTAAAGCTTATTCTGTGTGAAAAGAGGGAGTTTTGTGTCTGCTTCCATGAAATTATTTTAAGCTTATTTCTTAACATCTGTCCTAGTTAAGCCCATATCCCAATTAGGGTCCCCTGGAAACTGTCCAGTCCAAATTCTTAGGATAGTGCTTCAGATCCTTAAGTGTCTCATATGCCATCTTATGGTTAGAGACTGGCCAAAGTGGAGACTCATGCCTGTCTGATAATCTTTGATCTTTGGTTAAAGCTTACTGTTGTGCAATGTACCCGGTTCCTTTAATAATTTGTGACAAATTGCATTTGGTCTGGAAGTAGATCCTACTGGTTAAAATGTGGAGCTATACTTTTTTGTCCATGAGTTACAATCAAGCTGGAGTAGTACTTGGACTGCAAATCTGAGTAGCAACATGAGTTGAATATAGTCCCTATGATGGTAGGAATCTTAGTCTGAACGGGAGGCTACAGTTAGCCTGTTATCTCACCACCTTGGAATTGCAAGAGTGAGTGGCTCTGAGTTTTGGGGTTCTCTGGTTCAGGGTCTATGCCATCTTTGGTACTGGATGACGTTGCACTGCCCCACACAGACTCAGTGCACCGTCTGGGGTCCTTCCTGATCAAAGTGCAGGTGGCAGTGGTAGCTAGGAGGGCCTTTGCACAACTTTGGGTTGTGCCCCAGTTATTCCTGTTCCTGGATCAGGAGGCTCTGCTCGCAATCATTCATGCTCTGGTCACCTTTTGGATGGACTGTTGTAATATGCTCTACGTGGGGCTGCCCTTGAAGGGTATCCGGAAGCTTCAGCTTGTGCAGAATGTGGTGGCACAGGCAGTTACGTGTGCCCCTAGAATGGCACATATTACACCTTGTTCCGCAAGCTGCATCAGTTGCCAGTTTGCTTCCGGGTCTGATTCAAGGTGCTGGTTTTGACCTTCAAAGTCCTTCCTGGCATGGCGCCGGGTTATTTGAGTAACCACCTCTCCCTGATTACATCCACCCATCCCGTCAGGTCTGGCAGAAGAGGTATGTTGTGGATCCTGTCTACAAAAGGGTTACATCTAGTGGGACCCAGAAGGCAGGCCTTTTCTGCCCTGGTACTCACCCTGTGGAACGTCATTCCCCCTGAAGTGAGACTGGCCCCATCCTTGCTGTCCTTCTGGAAGTCCCTCAAAACATGGTTCTGTCAACAGGCTTGAGAATCAAATAGTGTATTAGTGAGGTGGCTTCGTTGTCTATAATATCCAACCCTCTGCAGGTCTGTTAACTGTAACACCGACTGATGTTTTTAATTGTAGAATTCCTTTTAATGTTATTTATTTTACAGGTTATTTTTATTGTACGCTACCCCAAGTCATGTTTTGTGAGAAGGGCAGCTATATAAATATGACTGATTGATTTAATCAATTAATTAATTAACCAGAATTGTTTTCAGAATGCTGCTGAGTCTGCTAGTTTACAGTCTAAAAGGATTCCAGTCTAAAAGGATCGTCTATCTATGGCTTTTGTTTGTAGGATGTAGCTCAGAGTAGGAATTAGGGCAAGCGGTGAAGAAAAATCAGTAGAAATGTGTTTATTGTGATTGCTTTGTATACATAGTAATATTAATTCTTTCAAACCTTGATTATAGTTTCATATGTAGGCTTATTTATGATTGCAGTTACCTTGAAAGCTAACACCATATTTACCTCAAAGGAAGACATCTCTGAATATAAGTGTTCACCTCCTAAAGAGTCAAGAGAAATTTAGGAACAAAAATATTTATCTGCCTCCATTACTTTAATCTCAGTGAAAGTGACAGCCATCCCATTTTACAGCTAAACTGCAGAAAAATATTCTTTATTTCAAGTAAATGCAGTACTTCTGTGAAATTATATTATTAGTAATATTTTCTTTATGCATAATGAGAAGGAATGTTCTTTTTTTCTACCCTTCAGGAAATAAATCTCAAAGGGAAGAGTTGGATTCCATTCTTTTTCTTTTTGAAGTAAGTTACCCATTTTCAATATTTACTGAACATTATAGTTGCATGGTTCTTTATGATAACAAACACATTATATTTTCTTTAGAAAAAGTAAAATGGTATCATTCTAAATAGTGGTGGATGGGTCCCTCCCTTTTAATTGTTTAAGTAAATGATAAAAATAATGGCATTATAATCAGGCCAGTCTCTGGTTAGGCAGTTTGTGGAATGCATGCAACAAGTCACAGTTAAAAGAAGGAGGGAGAGGGAGAGTCAAGAGAGAAGAAATTAGAAGCAGACTCTGAACTACTTCAGGGACATAAATTTCCATTTTGCAGATTCTGGCCAGGGTATTTATGAAGCTGTATACCACCTCTGTGAGCACATCTAGATATCTATTAAAGTAGATACCTAGATAGTCAGAATATGAGACGATGACATGAATAATGACATGATCAAATGTCATGGAGTTAAGTGGAAATTCTTGCCTCTAATTAATCAGGACAACACTGATTTGTTAATTAATTAGAAGTTATACTTGTGTCTGAATCTGACCAAGAAAATTGATCTGACAAAGTAGTCAGATATCTGCCTTTGTGAAATGTTGCCAACACCCAAATACTTAGCCAAATGTGAAAACTAAATATTTCCTCATTTTTTAAAAAGGGATATTATAACATTTTCTTAGGAATCAGGCTAACAGTGAGACTTTAAGCAGTAGATCAGAACATCTCATGAATTCTAGGAAAATGCCAGCAATCTTACCGATGATTGCTTTACAGGTATCCTAACAGACCAAGAGCCCTTTTAAAATCAAAGCTTCAGATTTTGATCAAGTCCAGGGTTCCACTGATATACAGAATGCTGTTTAAATAGAAGTGATTTGTAATATATCCCATTAGTTTTGTTTAGCTGTGCAGGCTTTTAGTTCAGTATCTTGGTTTTTACTTTATCCTTGGATCTCTTGATATCTTTGTATGAAAGCAATCACCTGTTTCCAAATAAAGATACTCTCACTAGATTGACATGTGTATCTTTCATTCTCTAATGTCACTGGATAGTAAGCAGAGACAGTACTTTTTCTTCTGTGAAGTCCGATTTTGAATACTTAAAGCACTATGCCTACATAATTGATAAATGGGTGCAAATAATGGAATTAAGGACACATATATATCACAAAAAACTAAATTCCTGTGAATCATCTCTCTGTTGGCACTTTTGGAACTAATCTGGAATAATTTTAGCATATGAAAGAATAGATTTTCCTATACACAACATACACACATACACCCACCTACCCACCCACATTTATTTATATTTATTATGGTCACCAAGTTGGAAAGACTTAAAGTGGCCTACATAACAATTAATAAAAATGATCAGAATGCAAACAGTATAAAAAATAAGCAGTGCTAAGGAGAAAGATATTAAAAACAGTTTCAGCCATTTCACCATCAGTCATCACTTGGCAGGATCACAAAACACCTTGGTCCATGGCCTGTTCAAAAAGCCAGGTTTTCATTGCCTTTCTAAAATAAAATAGAGATGACACCAAAGAGATCTCTTGGAGAATGATATTCCAGCAATGACAGAGAAGGCACACATCCAGGAACCCATAAGATGGCATTATTTAACCTGGAGCTTGCTCACCCTATCAGATCATACACGATGAACAGAGACAATTGGAAAAAGTCAATCTTATTGATAATCAGGCCCTAAGCCATGCAGGGCTTTATAGTTTACAAACAGCATATTGAATTACACCTAAAAAGCCAGTGGTAATCAGTGTAGCTTGTGCCACAGAGATGTCCCATAAATGTTCACAGTCTCATATTTTGGATCAACTGTAGCTTCCAAGTGGTCTTCATGGGTAGCCTCATACAGAGTATGTTACAGTAATCCAGGTGAGGGGTGTCTAAGGCATGAGTGATCATGAGCAGGGTTTGCCATTCTAGGAAAGAGCACAATTGGTACACAGCTACACTTTTTCTTAGCAAGAGTTGTGAGTCCAGGAATATCCCAAAATTGTACATTAGAGCAGGGTCCCCCAAGGTGGTCAGTATTAACTCCCAAGGGTCAATGGGACTATTCATTATTATTGTTGTTATTATTTATAGTACTATTAATTAAAGTAGTATTTTTAAAATTATTTTTACATAATGAATGTTTGAGGGTTGATGAACAATCTGAAATTTCATGAAGGGGTTGATGAAGAGTTTGGGTACCCTTGGCCTAGAGAATGCAACCCCATTGAGGTCTAAAGATGGAAAATCCCTGGACACAGCTGATCCAGGAACCCAAAGCTGCTCAGGTTTACTAGAGTTGAGTCTGAGCCTATTCCTCCCCATCCAGATCCTAACAACTTCCAGGAACAGCGGTTCCACAGCATCACTTGGTTGGCCAGAGATCGAGATACACAGTTAGGTACCCACAGCATACTAGTGATAGCTGACTCTGCAGATTGGGTGATCTTCCCTAGCAACCTCATCTAGATGTTAAATTGGAGAGGGAAAAGCATTGATCTCTGAGGAACCCCACAGAGTACGGGTCTAACCACTGCAAATTTTATATATATATATATGTGTGTGTGTGTGTGTGTGTGTATATGTATATGTGTGTATATATACATATATATATATATATATACACATACATACACATACGTGTGTGTGTGTGTGTGTGTGTGTGTGTATCATTCATTCATTCATTGGTATGTGGCTGGATAGTGGTTAGAGCACTGCCCTTTGACATGGGAGACAGGTTCAAATCCTGGCTGGTACCTACTTCACCAGTAAGGGTCTTTGGGCAAAGACCTTCTAACACTTCACCTGCCCACTTTGGATATGAAAGTGACATAAACTAAAAGAGTCATGCCGGCTTGGACGTTGCCCAGATTAACAAGCTCCACGCCAGATGTTGGGGAACCAGAACCATCTGATGATAAGTGGGCTACTGGAATAAACCATACATGGATGAGACAAGAGAACCTGGAATTGATGGAATACTACTACAACAGTAAACCTAATGAGAGGGGATATATGAAATGTATGAGAGAACTATGGATGGACAGAAGACCTACATCCACAGCAACTGAGAAACAGTTAGTTACCCAACACTTCAACATAGTGAAGAGGAAGCTGCTCTCACAACTTGAGATAGGCCAACTACACATTACATCCCAGACTCAAGAAGACCCAGAAGATCATCACTGGAACATCACTCCATTACCCCTCTGTAATGGAACCCCTCTATTACAGAGCACAGTAGCTGATATGAGACATAAGATCATGGATAAACTAGCTATAGTCAACCCTCGAGACTGATTACCAAGGCTCAGTGGAGAAATACCATAAGATAGTATGTTGGAAGATGCCAGTAGAGCCCTCATGACAATTCCTACTACCTCCATAACTCAAACCAATGAACTGGTATACATGACAGCCGCTGTAATCCTGGAGATGCTTGGCTACATGATAAGAAGAACAGCAGTACCTACCCTCCCTGGAAAATGAGGTTGGAGGTTAAGATTAAGGATAGGGGTGTGTGTGTGTGTGTGTTACTGTATTTGGTGCTTTGCAGAGTATAAGAGAACAGTTCCCCATCCCAAATAGACCATATACATATTTGTACACTTGTCTATCTGTTCCAGTGTTTGTTGCAAAGTGAAATGATACCAAATGGCTACAGGGCTTTTGTCAATGCCTAAATATTTTAATTACTAATGTGATACAGTTAAAACTTCATCTTTTATAAATAGTTTTAAAAAGAGGAAATTAGAAGATGTAACGCAGTTTTACCTAAGAATTATTTTAAAAACCGATTGTCTCTTCAGCAACAGATTTCTAAGCAATATATGCCACTGGAAAAGGTTGCAACATTAACAAAGGAACTGTACATCCCAAACATTATTATTATTCAATCATTTTGGATTCGTGCCCATTGCAGATATACAGTTTTAAGGAACAGAAGCAGAATTATGTGTCTGCAACACTAATTCATTTATTGTTAGATTTATTTCTCACTTTTTCATTCAGGAGCTTGTAGTGACATATTTAGCGCTCTCTCCTATTTTTCCAATCTTGTGAGCTAGCTTGGGCTGAGAGAAACTGGCCTAAACTTATCAGGATATAAGGAATAATATCCACACCAGTAGAATTTCTTAGGGATAAAATTTGACTGTACATGTATTGGTTAAGGCTTATATAGTACAGAACAGCATAAAGAACATTTCTCAGCATTGGTCAGTCTCACTGCTGTTTGATTGTTAGTTCTGCCTGCTAGCTGCTGAACAGCCAGCCTCATCATGACCCAGGCTATGGTGTAGGTGCTTCTCGTTACTTGGTGTGCCCCTGGAATGCCAGCCTCCAGCTTCCTAAGTATCTTAAAATTGCCCTACATACCCCGTGTTTTCTGTGTTCAAAGTCAGAGGCATGAAGTGGTGCCCTACTTTATCAGGGTAAAAGACAATACTAAATTTAGTAGAAATCAAACTTCTGTATAGTTCTTGATTTAGCTTGCCATTTCTTTTATCAGCCCTGCTCTCACATCTATGCCTGAGAATCCAAGTATGAGTAAATCTCAGGTTTGGGGAATCTAGAACTATATGGTAGATAATTAGATTTCATATGTTTTGAAATATGAAGAAGACTGGAGAGAAAGATGCATAACAATTGTTATTTGTGTGGATTTACTGTGCAAATTAAGTATATGCTGCAAGAGGATCTTATGTCTGATATAAGAAGGGCACAAATTGTGTAGAAAGCGAATGATGCAGAGTTACTGTTCATAAGTTCTATAACTGTAAATAGATTGGGGCAGTGATTGGGTTTATATGCTTAACTAGTTGTAATGAAGCTACTTGGCTCTGCTTAGCATATTATGTGATTCTAGGTTTGTGAATTATAATTTAGAGATCTAAACTATGAACCCAGTTTTGGCTTATTTAATGAACCATGAATTATGAAACCATGATGTAATATAATGTGTGAATCTCGTCAGTGACTCGATGACCAGTTGTCAGTGATGCTTGATTTTGAAGTTTAAGCTACCTTTACAATTGAGGATTCTGTAGTCTTGGGAATAAGCCCCATTGAATTCTGTGGATTTAGTTCTGAGTACATTGGATTACACTGTAAAATATGCAAATTAGAGTAAGTCACTAGACTGAGAAGCTGCTTTATATCAATTTAAAACAATGAATTTTCTTAACTTCTCCAGAGAATACTGCAATTATTACCTGAAAGAATTTTCTATCGATGGCATTTTCATAGCATAGGTAAGTATACTTCAGGTTTGGATTTAGGTTATTTATTTTAGTTCCAGATTGGATGCAGTTTCCCATTTTACCTTATAGTGCAGTTAAAGTAAAAGGATACTATACCCTTAATGGGAAACAACAAATTGGATTGACATGTGATATTTTACTCTTGGTGCTAGAATTATTACATACCAGATTGCTTTTTCATAAGTTAAAATGTCCAATGGAAAATTTATTTTATTTATTTAGTAGACTTGTCCCTGCCCATCTCCCCATAATGGGGGACTCTGGGCGGTTTACATCAAATTAAAACCATAAATACATAATTAAGTTATAAAACACTTTTTTTTTTTTTTTGTCTGCGCTCAGTCATTGCTGACCCTGCAGTGACTGCTTGGACAAG